ATATTCTACTATTTAGTGCTTTTTATCACATTTTTTTTTCTTGGAAGCTTTTAGCTAGTTGTCACATTCATGTGCAAAAGTTACATTTTTTCCTAAAATTTTGACATGGCCATTTTTCTCTTTGATGACATTCTTCAGTAGGTCAACAAATATTCTGTGAGTCTCTTCTGCTAAATACTATGTATACAAATATGGATAACCAACTGACCCCATCCTCAACAAGCTTGACTAAAATATGGCTAAAATAAATATTCTGCTACAAAGAAGTAGAGAATCGTGTCTTAAAAGAAACAATGCTTGGGGCTGGGGCTGTAGCTCAGTGGCAAAGTGCTTGCCTAGCATGTGTGAGACACTGGATTTGATCATCAGCACCACATAAAAATAACAAATAAAATAAAGTCCATCTACAATTACAAAAAAAAAATTTAAAAAAAGGAAAGAAACAATGCTTGGGTGTTCTGAAGGGGTAATAATTCTCAAGAGGAATGAAGGAAATGAACAATTACTGAAGGCCTGTTATTTGGTAAGCAATAAAGAACCTTTAGAGATGTCATCTACTTTGATCTTTAGGACAACTCTGAGGAAAGCTGTCACTGCCCCCATTTTACTGATACAAATTGAATTTAAGTAACTGCCTAATATCATACAGGGAGATTTGAGATTTTAATACAGTTCTGCCTGGATACAAAGCTCTTTCTTTATATTTCTATTCAGACAAAGCTTGGTGGAGGTGGCATATGAGCACATATCTTAAAAGATAGGTCGGTATTAAGGTGGAATAAGAATTATAAATCTACACCTGAAATTCTCAATGGAGACACATAATTCTTACAAACGCTCTACCGCTGATCTATAGCTCCCCTCTCAATGTAAATCATTGGTTTTTAAACTTAAATTACAACCATATAGTTAGTTTAGGGCAGTATAATCGACATTTTAAAAAAATGTCAAAATAGAAAGAGCAGAGACGATTGCATAAAAGGAAATTTCATGACACTTATGAATATATTTAGGTACATGAATTTGTGATTATGGTACTGGGCTATAATGTAAAATGTACTCCTGATAATGAGAAAGTTTTATTTATAAACCAAATATACCAGATGTTTTAGTCCATTTGTGCTACCCTAAAAAAATATCTGAGATTGAATAATCTATAAACAGAAACATATTACCCAACAGTTCTGAAGGCTAGGAAGTCCAAAGTAAAGAGATCAACAAATTCAGTATCTGGTAAGTCTTTGCTTCTAAGATGGCACATTGTTGCTCCACCTCACATGGTAGAAAGAATCAGAAAGGAGAACACTGTGACTTCGCACAGCTGAAGGGCAAAGGGGACAGGCAGTTCTCTGAAGCATCTTTTAAAAGAGCATAAATCTCATGACTTAGTCACTTCTCCAAAGATCACCACCTCTTAATACCACCATCTTAGGGTTTAAGTGTCACATATGAATTTTGGAGGAACACATATATTCAAAATGTATAATTAGAGAAGACTGCATGGTTTTTCCACCTGGAATGAAGTAACATCTAAGTTTAAGGTCAGGAAGTGTTTGGGCAAAATTTTCTCAAATACAGAAAGCAGTATCAAAGACTATTTATTTACAGCATAATTGGCATAGCTATAGAGCAGTTTAATACCTGTCTTACCCTGCTTTGTTACTATACCAAAATATCAGAGACTAAATACTTTATGAAGAAAAGAGGTTTAGTTCATAGCTCTGTAGGTCCAAGGACATAGTGCCAACATTGGCTTCTGGTAAGGGCCTCATGATACATAATATCATGCATGGTGGGGAGATATCACATGGTGAGAGAAGCAGCAAGAAGAAGAAGCCCAACTTGCTTTATAACAACTCACTTTTGTGGTAACTGATCTAGTTCTACAATATCAAGAGCTCACTCCTATGAGAAAAAACATCCATCCCTCTTAATCCTAATACCCTCAGAAAGACACCATATCCCAGTACCTTCACAATGGGGATCAAGCTTCTAGTACATGAACCTTTGAGGACAAACATATTCAAACCACAGCAATACCCTAAGCATTTTTTTTCAGGAGTGAGCTGAATAGAAATGGGTAGAAAAAAAGCAAGGCAATCATCTCTTAGCAGAGAAACTCTATAGAGGTACAGGTCTATCCAGTTCAAAGGATATCCACAGCAAAGTTTTTCTTCTTAAAAAAGGAGGCAGGGTGCAGGATTTTGCTAACTCAAAAAGATCCTTTCCAAATGGGTACATACAGTTCCAGCCCCAAAGGATGTAATCTCCTTAAGGAGATAAATGGGAAAATGCCTTCAACCATCAGCATTCATTTCTATTAGTCTTCATTTCTATCTCTCTTTTTAAAATGTTTTATTTATCTATTTATTTTTATGTGGTGCTGAGGATCAAACCCAGGGCTACTGCTGAGCCACACCCCCAGCCCTCTATCTTAATCTCTGAATTTGTCTTTTGGCCATTATCTGATGGTGTGTAGAAAGCTGACTGCCATACATTGATAAGGCATCCATCTAACCAGTGCACCTTGCTCATCCATTTTAATCAAACATATAGTAACTATGTTAACATATGGCAAATATTATTTATCCTGATCTTTTTTTTCTTTTTGGTGTTACTGAGGATTGAACCTAGAGCCTTGCATATGTGAGGCGATTGTTTTACCACTGAGCTAAATATATGCTCGGCCCTTTTTTAAATTTTGAGACAGGGCCTTGCCAATTTACCCAGGCTAGCCTTAAACTTGTGATCCTTCTGCCTCAGCTGCCTAAGTGGCTGGTATTACAGGCTTGTGACATTATACCGAGTTCCATCGGTTCTTTTATGAACTGTTCATTAAGAAGTGCCAGCATTTTGTCCATGGTTTCCTGGTCAACTATTTTTCTCTTAGTCTAATAGTATTGATTTACTACCTCCTTCCCAAATTTAAAATTTGCTTTTTGTTTTTTAATGTATCTTGTTGAATTATGTTGTTTATATGACCACACCATCCTAGGCTTTATTATATATTCTATTTTCCAAATCTTACTCTGAAATCTCACTTTTCCAAGTTACCTACAATCTTACCTTATTTTTACTACTCCCAAACATGGATCAAAAGTACAAGTCAAGCTGATCACAGCCCTTAATATAAGCCATAACAATTCTCACGTCTATACCCATTCTCTTCCCTGAATGATATGCCGGTCACTGCTCTCTTCTTCTCCAAATTTTATCTGTTCATCAAGGTTCAGCTTAAGTTACTTCATAAATCTACTTTAATACTCTCAATCCCACTGCTTACTACTTTCTCTAAAAGTGGGCAGCATTGCATTTCCTTGAAACATTTAGAGTTTAATTATATGGGTCTTCACAACAATTTCTATAAATGCTATGCTGTGTGGTCCGTAAGGTAGGAACTATTATTTACACAGCTCTTGCCTTTGTACAAAAATTGAAAGAGCAGTAGGAAATGAAGATTATTGTCCTGACTTGGCACTGAGGAAACAAGCTACTCCTCAGTAACTCTCTGATATTCACTCTATTTTTCTCATAGCATAAACAGTACTAGGTAAATGGAAGGCTACCAAGACATCTTGAAGACCATTATCTTATAGTTTGTAGATTAGTAGTCTGTCAATAAGAGGAAAATGGGGCCAGGCACCTGTAATCCCAGCAGCTCAGGAGACTGAGGCAGGATTGTGGGTTCAAAGCCAGCCTCAGCAATTTAGTAAGGCTCTAAGCAACTTGATGAGACACAGTCTCTAAATAAAATATAAAAAAGGGCTGGGGATGTGGTTCAGTAGTTATGCACCCCTGGGTTCAATCTCCAGTACCAAACCAAACTAAACAAAAAAAAAAAAAAAAAGGAAAAATGCCGAGTCAGTGCTTCATATTGTCCACTGCACATTGACTTTTCACTTTTATAAATTTTACATCAGTATCATTCTATAAAAATAAATGTTAACATCAACT